ACCCTGCTCTATCCTGCGCCAACCGCACTGCCTCTGACACACCAATCCCGATTACCCCAGTCACTGAATCAATCCATCTCATAGAGGGTCTTCCCCTCCTGCGCTGTCCCTCCACCCTCCCAAGCATGATGTCCCTCTCCAAGGACCCGTCCCTCCTGGCAACATGTCCAAAGTATGTCAGACGAAGCCCCAGAATCCTTGCCTCCAAGAAGCAGCTTGGTTTAATCCTCTCCAAGATGGATCTGTTTGTTTTCCTGGCAGTCCAGGGTACATTCAGTACCCTTCTCCAGCACCACAGCTCAAAAGCATCCACTCTCCTTCTGTCCTCCCTAGTCATTGTCCAACTCTCTGATGCATAACAAGCGATTGCAAATACCATGACCTGTATCAGGCGCACCTTAGTCTCCAGAGAGACACTGTTGCTCCTGAGTACCTTTGAGAGGTCCCTAACGGCAGACTTTCCCATCGCGATACGCTTTTTGATTTCCTGACTGCTGGTACCAAGAGTGTTAACTGTGGAGCCGAGCAAAGTCAAGCTGTGAACACTCTCAATCTCTTCATCATCCATCCTGACGCTGCCAATTGGTCCAGTGACGGGAATCTTTGTCTTCTTGACGTTGAGCCTTAGTCCATACTGAAGGCTGCAGTCCTTGACCCTTCGCAGCAAGTGCATGAGGTCCTCCTCAGTTTCAGCAAGCAAGGTTGTGTCATCTGCATAACGGAGATTGTTGATAGATCTTCCACCAATCCTGATGCCACAATTCTCCTCATAGAGCCCAGCCTCTCGGATAATCTGCTCTGCATACATGTTGAAAAGGATGCATCCCTGGCGTACACCCTTCCCAATTTTGAACCATGCAGTGTTACCCTGCTCTGTTCTGACTACTGCCTCTTGGTCCAAGTATAGGTTTCGTATTAGCACAATTAAATGTTCTGGGATTCCCATTCTTCTCAGAGTCAGCCACAGTTTGTTATGATCCACACAGTCAAATGCCTTTGCATAATCAATGAAACACAGATAGACATTCTTCTGGTATTCCCTGCTTTCAGCCAAGATCCATCTAACACGACATCCCTAGTACCACGACCCCTTCTAAACCCAGCCTGGACTTCTGGCAGTTCTCTGCTGATGTGCTGTTCTAATCGTTGACATTACTGTTGACAAACTGTTGACATTACCAACTCTTTAATTGTTAAGCAATTAAGAAATATCTTAAGGGAAGGTTCTATGTACTGAAAATTAAAACACCACCACCACCACAACAACAAAAAACAAAACACAAACACACAGAAAAAAATAAGTGAACCAAATAAGAAGACTTTAATATAATGACCCTTTGGAAAGGGTTGTTTTTTTTTTTTTAACTTATACTTGGTTAAGAGAGTTATGGAGAAGACACTTTTGAAAGCCGGAACATTATCACAGACTGACACAGTAACTAAATTGGAAATAAAATGGTATAAAAGTATTTTTATCAATACTTAGTAGTTCTTAAAAAATATTTATTGTATTGTCCCCTTAATAACTGTTTTTGGGAGCACAGATGGTGCAGGCCATGGGGAATCCACTGCTGATCCAAACCCATCTCTAGCAGTTTGAACCCACTAAACGCTTTACATCTGAAAGACGGGCCATCTCTTCCCATGAGATAAACAGTCTCTGAACACCTGCTGGACGGTTGGCTCTGAGGCAGACCTGACTCAATGCTGAAGAGTGGCTGGTTTTGTTTGTTTGATCATTTTGCTTTTTGATAACTGTCTTTTGTTAGATTATCTAGAGAATCAAAATTAGTACATGGAAGGAAGAAGAGAAAGATGTTTTTCAGGGGAGTGACATGAGTCTGCAGAGTTGGGGAAAATGTCAGACTAGAGGCTTTCCCTGACAGTCTGGGCATGTTTGGAAGAGGAGCTGTTCCTTGAAAGGGAGCTCTTTGGCCCTTGTTGTTGTACGCGGTTGAGTTGCCTGCGACTCATAGCTCTTTGGATCCACCAGCTGCTACATAGGAGAAAGATGGGCAATTTCCTTCCATACCAGGAGTTAGTTCCAAATTGATCACACATGACAACAACAACACAACATTCCTTGGAAAGGGCACCATGCTTGGAAGGGTTAGTGAAGGGAGGAAGTCCTCAGTGAGATGGACACAATGGACTCAAGGACGTCAGAGACGATAATGCCACAGGCTAAGAGAGGGTTCAGATCTGCTGTTCATAGGATCTCTATGTACCATGAGTTATGTTCAACTAGATGATACCTAACAATGACAGTGGCAGGGATTCAAGGTTGGCATGTCATGTGGTATGTTCAGGCAGAACTGCAGTTCTCTTGCTCAAGGTCAAAGAACTATAGGTCACGAGTCAGAGGATCTAAGTCAAACTCAACTCTAGAGAGCTTTATCAGGAAGTATGTGTGTATGTGCCTTCCAGAAATAATGGAACTATAGAAAATAATAAGAAGATTTCAAATTCTTAATAACTCAATGTTTACATTGTTGAACACTGGGATTGATAGGATGATAGATTTAGAATTGATGTCTTTGAGTTGTGGTGCTGGAGAAGAGCATTAAACATATCATGGACTGCTAGAAAAACAAACAGGTCAGTCCTAGATAATGTGAAACACAGCTGCTCCCTGGAGGCAAGGATTTTGAAGCTCCATCTCATATACTATGGGCACATGGCCAGGTAAGACCAGTCCTTGGAGAAAAACATCATGCTTGTAAGGGTGGAGGGACAGCACAGGTGAGGAAGACCCCAAATGAGCTTAATTGACTCAGAGACTGGAGAAATGGGATTAAGTCTGTTGGAGACAATGAGATTGGCTCAGGATAGGGCAGGGTTCAGAGCTGTTGTAAATAGGGTCACCATGAGTTGCAGGCAATTTGAAGGCATATAACAACAATAATAAGTGTTAATTTGAGTTTAAAATTATAGAGGAAAAGTACCAAAGAAAGTAGAATGTTTTATTAGAAAAGGGTCTAATTCCATCATATTTTTGGAGTAGAATTTAAGTTGTCTAGCAATTAAGTGACTTGCAAAATCTATAGGACTTTGGTATTAAATCTCATGCAGTTCCATATTCATATGAAGATTAAGGATACCCAACTTACATTTCCATATATGTAATGATGTTAATTTCACCACTATATCACACTGCAACTCTTAAGAATACAGTTCTTAAAAGTTGAAAAGGAATGCTTTTCTCATTTGCAATTAAGATTTATATAGCTATTTCTACTTGAATTGTTTGCTCATCCACAATATGTCTACTCAAGTGCTTATCATAAGCATGGAGAGAAAAACACAGGGCAAAGAGGCCGTGAGAGAAGATTAAGGCCAAAAGACTGTCTAGTCCACTACTTTCATCCTCTAAAGGTTTACAATCTAAATATTTGTATTACATCAAAATTCAATCTAACCACAGCTGGTTCCCATTATTAGAGTAGTTGGTCTATAAAAGTCCCATGAACACTGGATTAGTAAATACAAACTGGTTATTTTGGGCTCCCCATGAAGTATATATAACCTACTTACACTTGAGAGCCCAAATAGCAATTCAGAATTCACAGGTCAATTTAATATAAAATTGGCAAAACAAAGCATGAGAATATGAAGAATACGACATTAAACAATGTGGAAAGAATACTTGTTTCCAGTCTGAGTGCTGAAACAAGGCAGAGTGTGGCCTTGTTGGACCTCAGCTAGGAGCTTGCCCATGGGACCACTTAAATTATTTGCTCCCTACCTATCTACAATTGACTGTGAAAGTGATTGTGAGCTTTCATTCTGGAGTTAAAAAGAAACTTGAACAAGTCGGTACAATTCCTAAAGCAGAATTTGCAATAAATGAAAATCTACTTTAAGGCTTTCTAGTGGCCTAGTGGTAAGAAACTGCACTGCAATCTGAAGGCACATGGTTCAAGTCCACCAGTTGCTCTGTAGGAGAAGGATTGTCAATCTCCTTCAGTGTGATTGACTGACTGCCTTCCAAAACCCTTTGGCGGGTCGGCTAGGCATTGATTCTGACTCGATGGTATTCAACCACAACATACATACACAGAACATGCCTGCATATATTGAATATGATACAGAAATATGTTATAGAGACAAGTATGCATATTTATAATTGTGTAGTAGAAGAACCAGTTAAATGAAAATAAAATATGCCACAATTTCCATTTTCCACTTGTCCATTGTATTGTACCACAGTAGCCTCAAAACCAAAACCTACTTATACTGGTCCCACCTTCCTGGAGTTCAGATTTAATCCCATGTCCTTGTAAAGACTATATAAAATACTATTCTTAGAAAGATCTCCATTTCAATGCTCTAATCAACATTGCTAAACCGTTTCTGGTTTTGTGGTTGGTAGGTGCCTTTGAGGACACTCCAACTCTGTGGACAATGGGTAGGAACACTGGCTCCTCCCATACTACCCTCATGATTTTTATGGTGCTCAAATCCATTGCTGTAGTCACTGTTCTAATCAGTCTTCTTGATGGTTTGCTCTCTCTTGTACCTTCCGTATTTCCAAGAATACTGTTCTTTTCTAAGGATAGTCTACTCCACTTTCTTTTAAAGACTGAATTTATTTAACTCACACTTAAAATACAGTATCTATATATGAAGGTATGATTGTACCAGAGAAACTAGCATGAACTCATCTCTTATTCTATTCTAGAAAATGCATATATCTTAAAGCAACGTGCGTTTGTTTTTCTCACCAGCCATATCATGTCTCAATACACTCAGCTTAATGGAAAAACAAAAACAACAAAGCAACAATAATAAAAAAAATTAGCATGTTCTGCATGTTACTAGCATAGCACGTTTTCTTTTAGTCTGTATTTATATAGTTTGTCTTTAAATTATAAATGCAGTATCTGCTTTAGACATTCTTACTAAACAGTACATGCTCAAAGAAAACGTATACTCTGAAAATGAAATAACAATTCAATTGAGGACACATGATGTAAACAATTCTGAAATTCATGTCTTACCGATAAAACCCTGGTGGCACCTGCCTCACCAAGAAGCATTTCTCCATGTCTTGCAGAACGTCATTCAGCATTCGCATGCGGATAGGGTTTCGCTCCTTGGGATCATTCGCAGGACGCATCTCATCTGATTGAAAGAGTTCCACACTCTCACGTAACCTTGATGCTGTTGTTAACAGCTGGTGAGTGTTGAGTGCAGTACCTGGTGAAAATAAAGTAGCCACCTCAGAAGAGACACTTCCAAAGGATGAAAATAGCTGTTTCAGATCGTCACACTGTGTTTCACGCATGGGAGCAAGCCAGAAAGGTCTATTGTCACTGGCAGTTGTCTTCTGTCTTTTGACAGAATAGGAGCACAGTCTAGTGACAAGAAGCTGCACTGTAGTCCGGAAGGCTCAAATCCACCAGCTGCTCTGTGGGAGAAGAATGAGCAATCTCCTCCAACGCAATTGACTGCCTCTGAAAACCTGTCAGAGGGTCAGCTGTGGGTTGGTTCTGACTTGACGGCACACAACAACAACAGCAACAAACATATTTAATTGAACAATGTGATTCTATATCAGTTAATCTGTAATTATTTATTGATTCAGCTAAAATTATTCTATCTACCTTATTCACTCTCATGCATTGTTTTTTAGTCAGAATTGACTCCTCGGTGACACTGGGTTTACAAAGCTCTAAATCATATGGAAGGAAACTGTCCACTTTTTCTACTGAGAATCTGTTGGTGAATTTGAACCACCAGAAAGGAGTTAGTAACACGACTCCTAATGATTATGCCACCAGAGCGCCATATGTATTTTTATATTCTGTTAACTAGAACAATAAGAAATCAGTATATACTAATGACTCATTAGACAACGTAAAGTCCCAAGTACTGTGGTAAACAGTTACAATAATTACTTCATTTAATAGTCATCAAACATTATAATGTCATGTCCATTTCATAGATACTGAAGATTAAGGAAAATAGTCACAGATCATCTCCCAAGTGAACAGCATATCCGATTTAGAAAGCTTATCATCCTTCAGAGGAAAACAAATTATGTTCATCATGGATTATCCTTGATTTTAGGGAATATGCATACATACACAGAACATTTTTCATGAGATGTGAACTGTATTGCTACCGAATGTCCGTCATACCCTTTTCCCCTTACTATAAATTTCCTTTAACATGTAATTGAAATACCCACTTACCAATCACTTACTGCTATAGTTTCAATGAACAAATTGTTACATAAAAACTAATGTAACATCCATTGTATGACTGTACCACAACTTCTCAATCCATACATTTGTGGCTGGACATCTGGACTGTTTCTATGTTCTTTCGATGGTGAATAATGCTGCTATAAACATTGTTGTACAAGTTTGAGCCTCAGTTCTAGTTTTCTCAGGGTATATTCCAAGCAATGGAATAGCTGTGTCATATGGAATTTCTATGGTCAGCTTTTTGAGGAAGAGTCAAACTACCTTCCAGAATGTTTGTACCATTTTACAATGGTACCAACAAGGCAAGAGTTCCTATCTCACCACATCCTCTCCAACGTTTATTGTTTGCTGTCCTGTTAAACTTTACCACTGCTACTGGGATGAGACAGACTGCTACCTGAAGAAAGCTGAAACAGGATTCATACCTTACATGATAAAAAATACATCACCTCAAGGTGGATCAGAGACCTGGGAGTAAAGCCCAAAACCATAAAGTTCATAAAAGACAAACTGGGATCAAGCTTGAGAGCTCTAGTCTATGGTATAAAGAGTCTGCCAAATAAAGCCAGAAACGTACAATCTGAAGAGGATGAAATTGATGAAAGAGACCTTCTAAAGACTAAATCCCTGTGTTCATCAAAAACTTTTCCAACAGGGTGAAAAGAAAACCTACTAACCGGGAACAAACATTCGGCAAGACCATCTCAGACAAGAGACCCTTAAGGAAAGTTTATAGAATATTCCTGGGCTTCCACATAAAAGTCTGACAACCCGGTTACAAAATGGGCAAAGGATATGGAAAGAATTTTTACAGAGGAAGATATTTTAATGGTCAACAGACATATGAAGAAACACTCCAAATCATTGGCAATAAGAGAAATGCAAATCAAATCACAATGAGAAACTAATCTATTTTTAAAAGGCATGCAGGAAAGACTTTAACAGCTTAAGTGATCATTTCATTGGGGTCCTCATTTTCCCCTCAATCCATGTCCCCTAACTCTATCAACCTCCTCCCACATGTACTTTAATATCCTCAATTTTAACTTAGAGTGTCTAAGAATTTGCAGCCTTATTTTTCCCTTTCCTAAGGCTGGTTAACTTAAACCTCTGAAGAGCAGAGAAGGGATAGTATAAAGGGTAAAGAAATAAAACAGCCAACCTTTAAAGACTATTCTTCAACTTCTTTGCTCCTGATGTAAAGTCAACCATAAATAAGCTTTTGTGTCATGAAAGAACACACTGATTTGGCATAAATGTTGAAAATATACCTTAAAATAAGACAAAATAATTGAGACTATGAAAATTTTTGTATTATTCAAAAGAGTTGAATTGTAGTTCTAAATTTCCAACAGAAATTACATATATTCATTTTATTTCTTTAAAAGCAAAGTAGCATATTTATTTGTTGTGTTGTTATGTGACATTAAGTTAATATGAACCCTATGAACAATGGCTCTGAACTTGGCCCTATCCTTAGCCAGTCTCAACATCTCCGACACACCTAACCTCATTGCCACAGTCCCGTGTCAGTTCATCTCCTCCAGAGTCTTCCTCTCATGTATTGACCTTCTACCCTTGTGAGCATGATGTTCTTCTCTAAGGATTGGTTCTTCTTGGCAACATGCCCAAAATATATAAGACAGATCTTCAAAATTCTTGTCTCCAAGGAACAAACTGTTTTCACTGTCTCCAGGACAGACCTGTTTGTTCTCTGGGAAACTCATGGTAGTATCTTCAATACAGTTTTCCAACACCACAACTCAAAGGCATCAATCCTTCTGCTGCCATCATTATTCATTATTCAGCTCTCAGATGCAGAGCAACCAATTGAGAAGACCATGACCTGGATCAGGTGGACCTTTGTCTCTAGACTGACATCATACTTCTTTAGCATTCTGGATAGGTCCGTGACAGCAGACTTTCTCAGTGAATCTCATCTTTTGATTTCCTGATTATAGGTGCCAAGGATGCTGACTGTGGATTTAAGCAAGAGGAAATTATTAACAACCTCCACCTTTTCTCCATCTATCACGATGCTGTCTATTGGACCTGAACTGATTATCTTTGTTTTTCAATGTTAAGTTGCAATCCATATTGAAGACTGCAGTCCTTGAACTTCTGCAGCAAATGCTTCAAGTCCTCCTAAGTTTTGGCAAACAAAGTTGTATCATCTGCATAATGAAGGTTGTGGATGGGTCTTCTTCTAATCCTGATGCCAAATTCTTCTCCATAAATGATCTGTTCAGAAGATAGAGTGAAAAATTATGAAGAATGATAACATCTCTGAAGCCCTCTTCTTGATTTTTGAACCATGCAGTGTTCCCTTGCTCTATTTGGATGATAACTTCCTGGTCTAGGTATAGGCACAACCAAGTATTCTGGGATCACCATTTTTCTCAGTATTAGCCACAATTTGTTGTGAGCCAAACAATTATCTTTACATAGTTATTAAAACAAATAGGAAAAAAAACAAACAAAAAATACACAATTAGACATCCTTCTGGTATTCTCTGCTTTCAGCCAAGATCCATCTGACATCAGCAATGATATTCCAAGTGCATTGGCCTTTTCTAAACCCAGTTTATTTTTGCTCTTTCTCTGATGTCCTGATATAGTCATATTTTTATAATCTTTAGCTAAATTTTGCTTGTATGTAATATTACTGTTTGATAATTTCCACATTCTGTTGGATCACTTTTTTTTAATGGGATAACTATCAATCTCTTGCAGTCAGCTGGGCATGGAGCTGTCCTCCACATTTCTTGCCACAATTTAGTGAGTACATATAGGGCTGCATCTGTCTGTTGAAATATGTCAATTGGTATCCATCAGTTTTGGAGTCTTATTTTTTCACAATTACTTATGAGTACCTTGAACTTCCTCTTTATTTGCACTGACCCTTGATCATATGCTAATTTCTGAAATGGATCTGTGTCAGCCAATTCTTTTTGGTACACTGACTCTGTTCTTCTTCAATCTTTTGATCCTTCCTGGATAATTCAGTATTCTGCTCATAGCATCTTTAAGCATTGCAACTCCAGGCTTGAATTTGTTCTTTAGTTCCTTCAGCTTAAGAAATTTTGAGCAAGTTCTTTGTTTTGATTTTCTTAATCTAGCTCTTTGCACCTTTCATTAACGTTCTTTGGTCTTCTTGAACTGCCCTTTTAGTAAGTATTTATTGTGTCATATTTAGCACATTGCTCTGAAAATAATAGTGGGAAGGTAAAGATATATAGGACCCAAACTTTGGATTTACCATGCTCCTGATCTAGCTAAAAATGTACATAATATAACTTGAGCTTGCAGGAAGTACTGTCAGGTGAAATGAATATTCATAAGGATGAGAGATCCCTCCCTGTAGGTAAGCTTATTCTGAGTAGAATGCAGAGTATGTGGAAAACAAGAAGAAATCATCATGAAACTGCTCAGCAAACAAGGATATTGTAGATGAGCTCTTGAAAATTCTGAGACATTATCTGCATTGAAGAAGTTGGTAGAGGGTAAATAATTATATTTTGGGGGAAGTATAAACTCTCAAGTGCTCTTTAGAGGCAAGAATGGTGAGACTTCATTTCATGTACTTTGGGCATGCTCTCAAGAGGCCAAGTCCTTAAAAACATGCATCATGCTATGAAAAGTACGGGTGAGCAAAAGAGACAAAGACCTCCAACAGAATGGACTGGCAGGTTGACAGCAACAAAAGCTTTGAGCATAGCAGAGATTGTAAGCTGGTGCAAAATACGCCAAGCTTGTCAGCTGTTCATAGGGTTGCTACATGTCATACTTGACTAGACAGCACAACAACAAAAATCTTCCCTTCCTCTTCTCATTTGTGCTTCTCTTTCTAGAAGATGATTTGAACTTTAATCTTAACACTTCCATTTTTTTTTTAGCTCCTTATGGAAAGACAGAACAAGATAGTACAAGCCATACTACTAGCAGTTGAAGAGAAGAAAGGTGGGAGAGACAGAGAAAGGAATCTTG